ATCAAGAAGAAACAAAAGTCAACAACAGGAGTTATCAAGAAAGATAACTACAAGAAATCAGTGGTATTATCATACAAAAAAGGTACATCAGAGGCAATTAGAAGAAGAAACTTTGGAAAGACTAATATTTTCACAGTATTTAGACCAATGAATTTGATAAGAAACTGGATAGGAACAATGTGGTATGTAAAATACCATGTGTCGACTGCTCCATAAGCTATGTAGGACAAACATCAAAATCGTTGAAAATCAGACTGAATAAACATCAAAGATCAACCAAAGTTCAGCTCACAAAGGTTCATCGATAGCGGCAGCTCATGCATGGGATGAAAAACATAACACCGACTGTAACAACATTACAAACAAAAACAAATAGAAAGAAGGGTTACTAACAGAATCCACATGTATACATGTCATCTCTGACACATTCAGCAACAAAGGTGAATCAATATAACTGTTAACCATATGGAACCTCATGGATCACGTTTTTACGTTTGAAGTGATGGATATGAGGTTCGAGTCTTAGTGGGAACAACACCACTCACCGGGGTGCAGTTACATCCAGCTAACGAGTCCCAAATAGGATTAAACGCGCTTCCTGGATTCTTCTGCTAGCCACAACCAAGTAAATTACCGTAATAAATATTCAGGAGACATCAAGGCATCTACATGGGAGCCCATATGCTAAGAAAGGTCGAACAATTTGATCCAGTAAAATAACGGAGAATTACAAGTGCATCAACAAAAAGTCATATTGGACGAATAGACTAACGAACAATGAGTAAAGACAATGGATATGACACCTATGGGGTAAATGTGTGAATAAATATTATTGGTGTGATCATCACGGGCAGTAATTTTAGTTCGAAATATTATTGTGTGTAAACTTAGCATTAGAAATTTACTTCCAATACATTAATCGATTCGACAATGCACAAACTTTTCAGTGATATACATAACACCCACGGTCTTGCCATAAGACTTGTTACATGATTTTGAGACAGTATTCATCACGGACTGACATCAGTTGGAGAACCATTGAAAATCTGGGAGGACTGATCCTGTTACGGTACGCACCCACGGACCAGGCTAGGGATCGAACTCAGGACCTTCAGGTTTCACGGCGAACGCGTTAATCATTCATCTACGGGGTTGGATTTCAATGGTTCACATTTCTCAGCTCCTAACAATTCGCTATATAGCGCGACTATCAGCCAAGGTCTTCAGTTAGTATCTGCTTTCTTTCCGACTGGTTGACCTTACAGATCACGACTTCTTATTTTAACTTCGAGATATCCATCTGGAAGCATGTCACTAATGAGCACTATTCAGTAATGTGTTTTGAGGTGAATAGAGATTCTAATTTCGATGTGGTGTTCACCACACGGTTATTATATTATGTATTAAGTTGGTCAAGAAAGGTAAGGAGAGATAAATATAGTCCACATGTTGAGGAAGGATTTATTTTTCCTGAAAGAGGTTGAACGCTGAGTCAGGTTGATTCATTATATAGGTAAGTTTTAATATAATCCCAGCGTGTTTAGAAAATTGAAAAGAAGCTTTTTCTGAACGTTTCACTGCGTATATCACAGATTCTTCAGCAGAATAGGATTTATGTTAGCTAAGAAATAAGATGAGTAGAATTCAGATAATCAGATGTCAAGGGTATGGAATGGAATAACAACAAACGTGTACGAATCGATAATTTTAGGTGGAAAAACATTATCACTGTCAACAACACTAACGTTTTTACCATGGTAGGCAAAAACTGTTTCTTTCTGAACATATAAGTTCAGTTTCAGTCGCTTAATGGTTACTGATTCAGGGAAATGCTTATTAATTATTCAGGAGTTGTAGATATCAGCTTTCAGGCCGCTATTTGACTTGTTCAACTTCATTTATTGGGTTACTATACTTTGTTCCATGATTGTATACGTCTTCATGTTGAGTATCTATAATGAGGAGTTCTGTTGAGATTAATGAGTTCATACTGGTTGATGATTGAAGGTGAGATGAAAATTTGGTTCGTGGTCGGATTCGGACCAGTGATCACCGGGTTTCCTGCCTGAGGCTCTACCAACTGAGCTACGAGTTGGTACAGCACCGAGTAGGAAACCCGGTGGTCGCTGGTTCGAATCCGACCACGATCCAAATTTTCATCTAGCCATCAATCAGTATAAATATTAGTCTGCCAAACCACGGCTATTTCGGACGGTCAAATGACAATTCATGAATTCGTTAGGTACTTCCTTTTTCTTCGTATTTGTAATTTCCAGTTCACTGTTTATAATATGTATATTAGTTACTACACACGTTGGAGGTTTGTGAGGATTTATTTATTGATTTCAGGTTGGTATTCATCATGGACTGATATCAGTTGGGTGAACATTATAAACCTGGGGGCACTGGGTAGCAGTATCGTCCTATCATGAGACTCCTCAGCAGTGCGCACCAATGACCCCACCAGGGACGGAACCCAGGACCTTCATGCTTCGCGGCCAGAACGTTACCATTGAGCCACGAGGTTTATACTCCTAAACATCTTTATTTCGTGATACATAGTTGTATATAAATGACAGATATCACAAAACATGAAACGTGGTAAGATTTCCCAGCAATGGAAATTAGAACAAAATGAAAAGAACATAGGCAATAGAACTGTGGGAATTTCATGCTTTAGGTATGATCGTGTTACTGTTTACAATCCTTCACTTCCTTTCTCGTTGCAACGATCCCAACCGGGAAGATTAGACTTCATCAACTTGTTGCAGGCTAACAACCAGAGACTTCATAGGTTGACTTTAAGGTTGTCTTTAAGTTGTCTCGAGCTTTCTTCGAATTTAACTTTACCCTAGCTAATTTATTGTATCGGAAAATGAGAGGCTCAGTATATATGACGCATGTTCGATTCGCCTAGGTCGATAAAGGTCCAAAATCTCATTGACTGATTCATCCTCTTTTTAAAAAAATACTCTACATCTAATTTTCGCATTGCTCACACTTTAATTTCATCAGGCACAATTTACACTATCAAGTTGGCAATAGTCGAATGTGTCATCACGACTGACTGAGTGGTCACTTTTTGAGTTCACTGGAAAGTAAAATTCTCTGCACTCAAATTAATCCATCATTCAATATATCACCACTTTCCATAAGATTTCGTTGAATATACCCCTTAAAAGGTTTATCATGGATAAGTCTTTCACATAATCTTCAAACTGACAGTTTCTTGAAGTTAAAAGTGTTCCTTTAAGGATTAGTTCGGCTGTTGAGTAGAGCAGTTGTTCATTGTTTACTAAGTAATAAGTAATTTTCTTAAATTGAGCTACGTTTGGAGGGAATTTCACTGGGAATTACATATTCTTATGTCATTTAGATCTAAGTATAAGACAGAGATGTGATAGTACAATTGAAAAGAACTATTCAAAGGAAAGACACGTGGTTAATCAGTACTTTCATTACACTAGTTTCCGTCCTATCCGCTATGAGCATGGTTCAGTCAGGACGCTCTTCACTAGAATGAGAACGCGATGCTCAAAACACAAACAATAACTCGGTATCATTGAGAATACTCTTATAGAGAATGGATATCTGAAGAAATTCATCATGAAGCATGGAAAAGAACTTATTGAGAGACTCAAACACCCAACTGTTGAGCAGAAGCCTGTTTTCCTTCGTCTAGTATTCAAAAGTGATGAAACATCTGAAAGAATAAACAGAAGAATAAAGGTTCGACTGAGAGGGAGCTTCTCTGCTGCCAGACTGATCTCAATTTACAACACAGTCTGCTCAATGACACAGTCGAAAGCAAACGAATACCCATCCCACATCACCTCCGAGTGTGTATATCAATTCACTTGTGCTTGTGGAAGCAAGTACATAGGAAGAACCAAAAGAAGGGCGTCTACTCAATTTTATGAGCATATTCCAAGAAATCTGTGTCTGAAAAGTAACAGGATGATCAAAAAACGAAGAACGCTATGTTTATTACGATTTGCTGAAGCTCTCCTCTCGCCATCAAACGTTTTCAACTTGACCTATGTACCCAGAAAGAGACTGTAATTGACCTTTTTCATCCCGGCAACTGCACATAATGTTTTGCAGATGTATGTATGCATTTAGTCTTCCTTTTTTGACTGCATCATAAATTACTTACTGACTGATAATCACTCAACCAGTCTTTTCATGCGATTACGTTACCTGCTAGCTCTTGCACACTCCTTTCCACAGTTCCAAATTTTCTATCTCATCAGATATAAACTGTCATTGATTTTAAATAAGGTTTATGATTACTAATCCTGTATTTCCTTGAATCCCTACCTTATTGTTAATCCTGGACATCAAATCTTCATTTATTTCTACATATTTAGAGTATATTGATCGGTCACGGGAGTGCAACCAATTTCATGTTGTCTAGTCTTGAGTGCAGACCGAATTCTATCGATCATATTTGCAATGTGACAACCAAGCTAGGAAGCTCAGCATCGTGGTGCACATTAGTAGATGTTAGTTGGTTGGAGGCAATCGACAGGAAGCCCTGGTATTATGTTTCATGCTTTTTGGCACTCGTCAGCAAGGCGTATCTGCAACCTCAACAGAACTGATGTCCCGCCTGAGATTCGAACCCGCATCACCCAGTATTGTAGTCAGCGACTTTACCACTGAGCTATTCGGGCCGCGATTAACCTCCTGTAGGACTGGCTTACATGTATTGATTGGTCACGGAAATGCAACCAATTTCATGTTGTCTAGTCTTGAGTGCAGACCGAATCCTATCGATCATATTTGAAATGTAGTCACCAAGCTAGGAGGCTCAGTATCGCAGTGTACATTAGTAAATGTTAGTTAATTGCAGCTGATGAAAGGTTATGAAATCATCTCATTTTATTCTATAAATGTCTTTGTTCTTGCATTGTTCATATATGTCATTTATCGAAACTTTGGCAAATTTAACACTAAAACACTATTACCAAACAACAACAGAAACATCAACAACTTACGTTATTCATTAATGATGAAAAATTAGATGGGATTACTGAAGAAATTGATGATTTCATTGTATGATGCATATTTTCATATGATTTATTAGACGCATTTGGTAACATTTCAGTGCAGTCCTAAATAAAAATGATTATGAGAAACAAGTGTTGATCCCAAAGTTAATTTATAAAACTTACAATTTATACAATCATTTCTAATAGATGATGCATTATTATCCTTTTTCTTTTACCAACCTAACTTCTGCCTATTCTTAATTAGCCCAACCATCATTCAATGTAGTGTATACTATCTGAAACAAAAATTATTGTGGAGTGTGACAATATCCCCTAGATTCCTGGAAATCCCTGAAAAGTCTTTACAGCCAACCACGGTTTGTCCAACGTTCACGAAAAACCACATGATCATATGCATGTCTTACACTAGCTAAAGGAATCTTTAGACCATAAAAAAAGGTATATAAACCGCTACCTTTTGTACACGCTTGACAATAAACCTTTATCGTTTTTGTTCCTTCTTTCTGTTTTCGAGGAATCGACTGACCCTCAAGGATGAAGTCTAAGGTTAATCATGATGGATAGTTGCTAGCAGAGGAATCCAGGACGCGCGTTTTGTTCCATTGGGGACTTGTCAGCTGCGTATATATATATATATATATATATATATATATATATATATATATACCACAAGGAAATGAACTAACAAAATCCAGTATAGTGACCATAGTGATCAGCGTCACGTTTCGTAGGTCAGTTGAGAATAATTTAGACATCCGAGTTATTTTGAAGATTACTGAAAGATAGATTAGTGAATTAGTACAATGAAGTCAACTAATCACATCTCTCGATGGTAAATTTGATCAGATTAATTGTAACTAGTATACATAACTGAGAAATACGCAATAGCTAGTCATTCGTTAAATATACGATAAAACAGTTTCTATGAACATGACGTATAGATCCATCTACTTTAGTAAAAATCACTCATGAGACTGGCATTATCGTAAACTACTCCAACCAACTTGACTAGCAGTGGAATCCATGAAGCGTGTTTTGTCCTGTCCGGGAACTCATCAGTGTCAATCGATGATAATTATAACTGACAACAGTTGCGCACGAGGTGGCTCTAGAGCCTCAATAGCCTAGGGGATAACGCTGTGACGTTTGAAGCAGTGAGTGGTGAGTTCAAGTCTTAGTGGGAAGGACACCACTCACTCAGATGTAGGCAGTTCCAGATGATGAGTTCCAAGTAAGACTAAACGAGCATCCTGGGTGCCATTGCTAGCCACCAACAAAGGTATTCCAGCTCTTAGTCTTATTCTCGTGCAAAGCGAATAAATTAGGTCCCTTTTTTGGCTCAGTGGTAGCGAACTTTGGAAGTGAGTGTATTGTACATTCTAAGCTGATTTCCTGCAGACTGACTATTTAAAAAGCTAGCAGGTCTTCTATTCAATAAATTATCAAGAAATTGAAATAAAAAGTACTTCTTTAGAACGACTATCCCCTAAGATTAACCGCAAAAAAAAACATGAAGCCAAAACATATACAAGAACAAGTTCTTAGTGTTCCTCAGAAGATTTTATTCTTGAGCATTGAATTCAAAGGGGACAACGCAGTAGCTCTACTGAAGAATCGACTTTCCAAACCATTCTATGTTGGCAAACTGCAAACGGTCTTCTCCAGCTGACAGTTGATTCATTGGGGCATGAAGGACAAACAATCACTTCGGATCACATCCATGCTTATCGATCAGTTTAACTGATCTTGTGGAACTGGTTAGGTAGGCGACATAAAGTACAGTCTCTCTAAACGCATTTTCGAGCACTATCCTGCTTGGCTGTTTAGAGGAAAAGGCAAGTCAAACAACAGTTCCATCTTAGAGCACTTGGTCAACTCTGATCGCATTGCTTCCCCACAGTCTTCTTTTAAAATCCTATACAGAATCAGGCTAAAAGGAGTGCGGATTAGTTGCTTATATATGGTTGACTTTAAAGGTAATCTTAGCAACTGCTGAAATAACTAATCAGATTTCAGCATTTCGACTGGAAAGGTAGTTTCTCATAGGATAGAGGGACGTAATTGGTTATCTCAGTAATTGTTAGGGTTAACTTTAGAGTCACTCATCAACGGTCACAATCACATGGTAGTGTCAGAGTCGACCTCACCAGTCAACAGTCCAAACACATGATATCAAGGTGTATCAGTTGGTTTGCCACTATAACAATCAATTTGGATGTTCTTGGTAAGTGAGGTGAGTTAATCAACAATGCAGATGAAGGTTGGTTACCAAACGTATACACATCAGATCCCCATCTCAAAAACCTATCTGAGATGGGTGCTTTTAAGGGGTAAAAAGTTTCTAAAGGCGATTATAACAGCACATAGTCCAAGAGTTTAGATCAGTAAGAGTTTTAGTTGCGAAGAAGACTAAGGAATGTAACAATAGAGGACTTAAAACAAGCATAAACTAGCTAGAATGCATAAGAGACTTGAGGGCATTCATGACTTCCCAGATTTAGACGGCTGCGTAACTTTCAGTGGATAGTTAACTGATGAAAACTTATTCAAAATAGAAGAACTAGTTGACATTAACAGCTCATGCCAATTTTAGCTTTCAAAATGTATTCATTTGTTGATAGAATGACAAAGCAACGTAGATAAATGAGAGTTGTTCTATCCTATCACCGTGATACATGGCTTTTGAAAATAAACAACATGAGAAGTTCAAATTATTCGACTATCCTATGCTGGAAAAACATTATTAGTGAAGCTGTAGCTGATCGATCTAGGTAGGCATCTGACTTTTAACCAGTGGGTCCCATTTTCAAATCCCGCTCCAAATCTCAAGGTCTGAAAAGCAAGGTAGCATAATTAACACTCAAACAATAGGTGCGATTCACTTTATACTGCACGAACTAGTATGTGGTTGGTGAATCCATTTCGATTTCTCTTCGAGTATGTGGCACAATTACCAAGTGAGCGATGTTGAGGTGTTATGTGTGCAGCTATAATGCTCCCGTCTTGTCGCTAACTGAGTGATAAAATCAACGTAGAACCTAGCACGTTGGTGGATCGGCTCAAGTTGCCACACTTCAGAGTTGTACACAAACAACGGATGGGTACAAAAAGAGATGTCGAAGTAGACAAAGTTGTATGAGACAATGAACAATCTGAGGATAAAGGATAGTGCAAAGATTGAAGCTTTAGAAGATGTCTAGGAGTGAATACATCTGCCCCATTGTCACCGATTTTCAGTCACTTCACCAAGAGTAATCAACCACTGATTCCTTTCAGCTCGGCGACCTCAGCTGGGCAGTCTCCATCTACCTACACGACCAGACCAACAGTAAGAGACTTAGTCGACTGGTATTGGTTGTTGATCTCACCATCTTGCACCCTCTTCGAAGCCGATCCAGCTTCCCCCAGCATGGCACATCGAGATAGGTGGTGACTCGGCATGCTCAGTACGTGTCCAAGGTATCGTAGTCGACTAAGGTTTACAACCTCATCAACCGACTTGCTTGTCTCCCCTAGTACCATTTGCCGTCTTGTAGCAGTCAAAATGAGTGATGCAGACTCAGATAATTGAGGGAACATCATAGTTGCAAATACGTTTTCTTGATGAGTACGAACAAGCACAAAGCGTATGTCCTGAGTCTCCTGTCAGTCGACTTTCACCTATTAACATCAAAATACGTACATTAAAATTATGCTTAGCTACTGTACACATACATCTATGAGCGACACCACTCTGAGTATGAGTAAATTGATTACTCACAGAGGTAAGGCATGGAATCACCCAACAGATTTACCGACCGCTATATCAAGCTGTAACTTATCCAAAAGCATTTTTAACCGTATGACAGCACAATAGAGTCCCAAAAGTCAACAACTGGATTAAAGTTTGACTTTCTGCAAAGTACTTCATGATATTCTGCAAATAAACAGAGTATAGACAAACAAAATAAACAAAGAACCTGGCGTTACTGCATACAAGGTCCAAGTTGTCAGGTCTTACTGTCAGCACATCAAGAGAGAATGCAGTAGGATGAAAGAAGAAAGCAGTCGAAAGTGGTAGAAAGCCATCAAAAGAGAGTGAGGAGGAATCAGACAATACCGAAACTCAGTATGAGGATTAAAATAAAGATAATATATGAATACATCTGTTCCAGTGACATCGATCCTGGGCCATATCGCATACAGTCTGTCCAACCACTGGCCTTTGTTTCAAACAGACCCCAACCAAGAAGTCTACAAGGCTCATACCATCGCGTACGGCTGGCAACCTCCAGCTTGAACCTAATTCAACTAACATTGTACGACAAGACGACGGTGACTAGGCATGCGTAGTATATGTCCCAGCCACCTGAAATAGAGTATACAAGTACATCTACACATATAAAAATAAAATATTAATTTCTTACCTTCTTTATATCATTAAAATGATGATTCAAATCATCGCATCCATTATTAACATTGTTAGATTCACATTCCAACTTTGCATGAAGTGAAAAACGTCCAGGGATTTGTGACATTGAAATGATGTCTGAACTTAAACTGCCTATTGTAGGACTTAATGGTGGGATTAAATCGTCTACGTAATATATTTGTCTGATGTTATCTAAAGGTGAAAAGGAATAATTACTAGTAATAGACATAATAACAACACTGCTACTACCACTAATAATCATAATAATAATAGGGAAAAAACTAATCACCATATCAAGTTTTGCATACCTTGAGAATTAAACTCAGTAGAGGCTAAACTCCAAAGACTAGACTGAAGTTTCGTATGGTTGAATGAATTTTTCTTGATACATTCTTTTTCAAGCTTATCAATTCTTTTAACCTATTGTCAATAGAGAAAATAAGAAATGAATAAGGAGGATAAGAAACAGAATTACTACTCTTATATTGATCTTGATGACTAGCAGAGGAACCTAGAATGCGTGTCTCATCCTACTTGGGACTCGTCAGCCGGATGTACCTGCACCTCATTGAGTGACGTCGTTCCCATAGAGGCTCGAACCCAATACCCTTCGCTTCAAACGCGAAAGAGTACGACAGCCACCTCTTGTACAACGGGTGTGTCTGCAAGCAGGGATCTAGCAATTCAGCCCTGTATAACAACGGGAAATTACGAGTATCATTACAAGAATTACTACTCGTTCAGTCATCTTCTTTTGCATTTTGATAGGCTTATTTTTAGCCGATCAGATAACAATACTCAGTTGCAATGTCAACACTTTTATTGGTATTTATTTATCAAGGTTAAGCTTGTCTGTCACCAAACATGATGATGAAAATAAGAGAGTGTTAGTTCGGTCTTATCAGAGATAAAACATTTGTATTGTGCTACATGTATCCTCAATGTCCAAGTAGTTGATAAGTGAATTTAATTTTCAGTGCCCATATTGAAAATATCGGTGGAAGACAAATATTGTCATAGTCCTTTATATAGTATATTATGATTCTTGCTTGATTTCAGTGCGTGCGCAAGACGTCTCTGAGGAATTGAGATTTTACAAGCCTTGTGAGTTTCTAGGTCAGCTGAACGTCACCGACAAATGGTTCGGTTTCGTATTATACGGATATGCATGAAGACACACCAGGTTATGCACCCCTAATAACGGAGAAGGCCTCAAAGTCCTGCATATCTACCTTTACCTCCTGAATATGGATGGCAGCCATTTCCCAGCCTGGGATAGCCCATTAAGGCCAGGAGTATCTCACACTCATCATCCAACTAATGCCAATTCTTCTCCTAGAGTGGTTAAATGGTAGTATCTGGGTATTTCAGCCCTTACTGTTTGTGGTTAGCTGACAATTGATCAAGTTCAGGATTCAATAGGAGACTGCTTTCGAAGATCTATTCTCCACCTAGGAGAGATAATGCGAGCTTCACCGCTTTGAGCGTTTGATAGCAATCACTGGTGCAGTCACTAGAGTGGTTCTTATCATTGAGCTGCAAACCATACTAGAGATATAGGTAAGCATGCTGACCAACTCAGTTCTAATAGCATATCACTCGGAGGAGACAGCAGGCATATACCCTAAAGTCTTCATCATACACCGCATGCATCGTGAGATGCATACTGCTCCATCACCCATGATATATCAAACAGCAATGTCACCGAAAAAAACAACCCAAGTTTACAAATTAGGTATTCAAGAAGGTCTTCGTACTTCACCATTACCCACGCTGAAGTCAGTTACTTCACTTCTAAACCCAAGATCTAGACGTAAAGATAGTGAGTCGGTTCGTAGAATGATTTCCGTTTAACAGGTGGAACCACGATAAGGCCCGTCGTAGAGCAACTAGACTCATCCGTCTAGCAAACAACCGGGTCGTGAAATACGGCTTAAATGTGCACCATCGATTAAGCATTTAGATGGTAACTCCAAATATCACGGCTGTCAGAATCATCGAGGAAGTCGGCTATCCAACTACAGACGGATAGGAGTGTGGGCAATAGGCCAAAATACTGACGTTACTAATCAGATGACAAGCGATTTACATACCTCAAGAGAGTTATAATTACTTTTGGAGGGGGGACACACTAGTTGGTTAATAATAAAGTGTTCACCAGTGAGTATTAAAGTCATCAGAACAATAGTACAATCAATAAAATCTTAAAAATTACCAGCTTAGTAAAACTAAATAGTTTCCCACTACCAGCAACTATAAGCGCATATTTCAATTAAGAGAATTGTCAGGATTTATTGACTTCAAGGTGGTATTCACCATGAAATGACATCAGTTGGTGGACCATTGAAAACCTCAAAAGACTTGACAACTATTTCATCTTAGTATGGGACTCTTCAGAGATGTGTATCCATAACCCCGCTAGGAATGAAATCCAGAACCTTCAGGCTTTATGGCGAGCAGGTTACCATTCAGTCACAGAATTGGAGTTCATGGTCCACATTTTCCTATCTCTGACAATCAGCGATATAGTCCAACCATCAATCAATACCATCGTTAAGTATTCGTCCTCATATTTGTTAAGTGCTTTGTCCCAGTGTATGAAGTTGAGCAACACACACACACACACACACAGATACACATACTTGTTCTTATCAGAAGAAAAAATCGATGAACACTGGATCTAGTGAAAAGTATATCTAAAAGAAGCAAAACTTGTTAAAAACTCATGACAAATCATAACGCAATCAAATTTGGTACGAAAAAGTGAATCATCAAGATTTTCAAAACATTCAAAGATTACAAATCTTTTTTTTTATTACTTCAAGAAGAATCGATTCCAACTTTTGTGCAAAAATGTTCTCACGTTGTTCACTTGACAAAAGTAGGTGTGATGGTGGACCCAAATCAGTAGGAGCAATTTTTTCAGCTAATATCGCTTCAGATTTTCTACGTTTCACCTCATCATCCATGGATAACGACAACGCACACGCAGTGTGAACATCTTCATTGTCAAGTCTGAAAGAATACAAATATTCATAAGTAATAAACTAGCGTCATTAGTTCTGAAAACTTCCTCAAGGTATAAAATGTAATGCAACACAATTCATACTCAGAGCTGGCAGACCTAGTCTAGAAACTACCAATCGTAAGACTAGATCAAATTCCGGTGAAAGAGAGGGGGGTTGGAGAACTTTCAGTGCCGACTAAAGAGCTGTGGAGGTCAAAGGTCATACCCAGTACGGCGAGACAGTTAGTGACGACAAGTTCACACAAGGAGGAAGAAAATCCCTTCCGAGGCTATCAGTCTCAAGGCCTTGCACATCCAACTCTGAGAAACGCCAAGTGATTAAGACCAAACAACATGCCAAAAAGTCAGTAGCGGTCGTAGAATTAATTGTGGTAGGTTTTTCGTGTAGTGAGGTTTCGGCAACAAATGATACCAAAGCCTCTATGAATAGGACGAAAACTGATTTAGTGGTTTCATCGTCTTGTACAAAAATCCACGTAGTCTCCTAAACAAGTGAACTGAACTCATAGATATCCGAACCAAGTAGGGATTTGATGGTTTAGCAACATTTGGACATTGGGTAAATAATATTCATTATTTTGGTATTTGTATTTCTCAATCACAATGTAGAACTAAATAAATTTGTTTCAACTAACGTTTCGTTATTTAGTGCTGTTAACAGCTTTATCAAAGTTAGCGTAAACCTGTCAAGTGTTCTTCTGTATGAATGATTCTACGTTATCAGAATTGTAGAATAAAGATGATATCCATATGTAGTGTGTTGTGCGTAAAGAGTGTGTGAATTACAGATTGAGGTTTGTATATACGCAAGTGTTGATGGTTCTTATCACGTGTATGTTGGTTATGTCAGTATGTGTGGGTGGGTTGAGACCAGGTGAAATTACGTTTTACTCCCTCATTCTTTTTTTGTTTAGACAATTTTCCTATGACACGTACTTTATAAATTCCTAAAGCCTTTCTGAATAATTTCAATACTGCCTAAATCAACCTTACGACCTGAAATTATAGCGTGTAGAGCTATGGCTGATGTGTTTTAAAGTTTCTTCAATTCCTCTAGATTTCTATAGGTGTCAAGTAGAAGATCTTTGGTGTTCAATTTTTACTATTTTGATTTCATAGGAAGTTTGTTCTATGCATATTACATCACAGTCTGAATTAGATTCTAAAATCTAGAGGGATTTCGTCCTTCAAATGAACTAAGGTGCTTTGCAATGTGTTTGATGTTCTGTAGAACACTTTGATGAAGTTGTATTTGTTAAGCACTCTCTTGATTTCATCCGATATGTGTGATCTATATGGTATAAGTATTGTTAAGGTCCATGACTTAGGAGTAGTTTTACAATCTAATTTATTGTTATTCTCGATTTCGCGAACGAATTCCACTGAATGACCAGTCATTTTAAGTATCTTGTTCTTATATTTTAATTCCTTAACTTTTTTTTCATTTTTTATCCGTTATTAGAGTGTGTGTGTGTGTATGGTCTCCTTAAAAGACTGGAGGCAACAGAAACTTTTGTGCTCAAATGCATTGCTTTCCTGAAAGTGGTTATAACCGAAACGTCTATTTACTTTCCACTAAATTAGCCAATCAAGAAAGGGAAGTTTCCCTTTGTTCGTTTCTTTATCTGAATTGAACTTGATATTGGAAGATTTAGAGTTCAGGTGATCTAAGAATGTAAGTCACGTTTTAATATTACCAATGTGTCATTAACATATCTTGAACACATTTTTTGTCTTTAGTAAGTGAGTGTAGACAATTCCTTGGAATTTACTTATATATAGCTTAGTTACTATGGATGAAAAAGATGAACTAATAGCAACACCGTTAGTTTGCTTGCATGTGAGATAAGTAGTCTCTAGGCAGAATTTTAGTGCTTTGATGATGTTATTGGTATTCAGGGAACATCTTTCTGTCAATGATGTACCTGAGTATAATACATTAGAATTAACATCTAGGGCTATCATTAATTGGAATACTAGTATATAAAGAATTGATGTTGTAGCTTACCATAATTTTATCCTTAGCAAGGTAAAATAAAGAAATTTTAGATTTAAAGTCAAATGAGTCCCTTATTATGGATTTTAAGTGTTTTTATTAATGTTTTAGCATTCAAGCTAGATATTTAAAGAGGACGTATGTTGGTGAAGTCCACAAATGGTTTTAATGGGATGGAAAGTTTTTGGATCTTCGATAGACAATAGAATCTTGAAGGTATGTAAGACTTAGATTTAAGTTTGAAGCAAATTGAGCTGCCGACTTCAGGTTGTAGTTGTAGTTCTTGAAGTAGTCTATTATTTCTATGTAGTAATGATAGATAGAGGCTAGCAGTGGAATTCACGATGCGTATTTCGTCCTATCTGAGATTCATCAGTTGGATCTACCTGTTTCCTATTGAGTGATACTGTTTCAACCGAAATTCGAACTCGAGACCGAATGTGTAGATGTGGTCTTTCTGTTCACCTTTCTACTGAGAAACCAGTCATCTCTTTAAATCAATAAGACATCTAAGAAATATAGCAAGGAAAAATCAACTGATATTGGGTCTAAGTCTGAATCCATGGCAATCTCATCAATTTGTCTGCAATATATATTATTGAAAAAGGAAATGCAAATTCATGGTGCATTGTAGATATAACAATGTATACGTATAAATTTCATTTCTATTCTGAAGTTAGGTACATCAACTGTATCAGCTTAACAGAGATGATAAGCAAGTCGATTGATTACGTTGTGAACCTTAGTCGACTGAGATGCTTTGGACATGTACTGCACATACCGAGTCACCGCCTACCTCGAAGTACCATGTTGGGTGAAACTAGATTACGTTGGAAGAGGGTTCACAAGGTGGCTACATGAGAAGAGACCCTGAGTCAGTCGATATAGTCTCTTAGTGTTTGTCAGAGTCGTGAGTGAAGATGTAGACTGCTCCACCACTGTGCTTCCCAAGACAATAGGAATGAATCAATGGTTGAGTACACTTGGTGAAATAGCTGAAAATCGGTAACAATGTCAAAGATGGATTCTTTCCTTGACACCTTCTAAAGCTTGAATGCTTGCACTAAGCCTTATATTCAGATTGGTTATTCTCTCACACTACTTTATCTGCTTTGATATCAGTCTGTTTTATCCATCTGTTCTTTGTATACTACTACTGTGAAGTGTGGCAGCTTCAACCTATCCACCTGTGTACGATGTTGTACGTCGATTTTGTCCGTCAGTCTCCTATTGTCGTCGAAGATATTCATTCATATTCAGATACAAAAGTTAGACTACCATTGAAAACGAATGGTACACGATGTTCTTTCTACACAATGACGGCCTTTTCGTCGAGCTTAGTTGTCATCGATCATACCGATACCGATATTCAAAGTTGCCATGATCCTAACCAACTCTACATAATTCATGATTAGCTTGAAACATACTGAAGATCGATTAGTATCGACAATGATTGGTGACATGAGTTACGTTTCCATCTCCTTAAGTCTGCTTCTTTGTTCTTAACTTCTCGCAAATATATACTTATCCTTGAAAGTTTCAAACGACTCGTTCCAATGTGACACATTCCTAGAGATCAAAGCATTCGATGAAAAAGCACCATTTTAATACTGTCAAAGCTTGGTTATGAAGACTTATGAGGATTGCTATCATAAGGAGAAGTCAAATTAACCAGCCACTCTAATCTGGAGTATACTGTTCTCTCTCCATGGTCATCCAGTATCAATCAGTACAGTCAACTCAGTATGGTATGGTATGGTATACGGAAAGAGATTGAATTGTTCAAAAAGAGTAAAAGAGTAAATCTCCTTTGTATGGTAGAAGTTCTTGGTAACCCGTAAAATGAGAATCCTGAACTCTAGGCATACAAACCTTCCTTCTAGTTTGCTTTCTGCCACCACGACCTTACTTGTACATCTCCACAACCATTTTGTATAACAATTTTTTAAACAATCTATCTTCATCTTCATTTGTTATAACCTCACAACTTTGTCAGTTTATATCTTTCTCTTTCTCATATGCTGATTGAATAGTGGTAGTATTTCCGACCCATGACTTTGACAAAACACTTCCAATCTCTACTCATTATTCAATATTTGCATTTTGTAAATAATATATAGGAATAATTTGTTAAGTCTCAAGGAATATTGAATTTGTCTTTTGACTTCCAGTTTCCTGCATATTGACACTAACATTCAATTCTTGTCGACACTTTCAAACTGTTATTTAACTCTACAGTTGTGATAAGAAGTTATGAAGAGAATGTTTTCTTCATTTCTCACTGACTACTACTGTCTTGCTAATTCATATCACATGAGTATGTTGAAATGATGGAGAATATTTGTAGCTCAGATGAATGATCTTGGTTATGTTGTGTCATCATTTGAGCTGAGTGGTCTGTTTGTGAAGTTTTCATTGTGTTTATGGAGGAACTCATCAGGATTAACTTCAAAATGAAGTAAACTATCAGGATTTCTCACCCTGAAAAAGTGGTGTGTGATTTGTAGTTTGCATAATTTGTTGTATCAATGACGTTGGAGACCCTAGGTGATATGGCTCAGAACCGAAGTCAGTGGCACAGATGTATACACACATTATCCTCATCTTAACAACGCTATACCGAATCTCACCATTTTGTCACTCCCCTTCCCTTTCTTCTCATACTTTATATTTCTTTTGACTGCATTCACTTATCTTCATCCTTCACCTCACTACCTTTTTACTTGATGTGCTGATATGAGGTGTGGCAACTCGGACCGTTACGCAGTAATGCCTGGTCCTATGTTGATAATGATGATGATGTATCAATGACTGCACAGATGTTTCCATTGACCGTCGGTCTGTTTGAACTCTGGCCTTGGAACTGTTTGTCATTTGCAACAACAACTCAAGGAAACTACCAATCGTACACCACTACCTCAGGGTATCACTCACAAAGAAATCCTGTTAGCTCACTTCATACTGAAGTTAATGCTGATGATTTTGTCCATAAAGACAATGAAAAGTTCACAAACAAACCAACCACTTACGAGAACGCAACACAACCAAGACATGGATGTTTTTCAGACTTAAAACAATCTCGAATTTATGCCACTTCATGATGTAAACTAAGTTCTAGTGATAAAGGAACCGAATACACTCTTAGGACATTGAAACACCTAGTCAACGATTGAGTCTTGTTGATCAACCGGTGAACAGCATAAACGTTAACTTCTATGCCAATGACTTGATGCATTACTTTCCTAACGACAACTACGATGAAGCTGTCATAATAATGCAAAGAGAATATGACAAATCGATATCAGAAACTTTAGTCTTTGAAAGAAATGTGAGAACAAATGGACACCAGTGATAGATCATCATCAAGATCAACATAGGACCAGGCATTACTGCGTAATTGTTCAAATTCCCACATCCCATATCAGCACATCAAGTAACAAGGAAATAAACCGGAAGATGAAGAGAGAAAGAGGACCTGGCCAGAAGAAGTAGAAAGTAGTAAAGGAAAGGGAGAAAGAATGAGAAAATAATGATATTAAGTACAGCGGTTGAGATGAGGATGTGTGTATACATCTGCACCACTGGCGTCAGTTCTGAGCCATATTACCTAGAGTTTTCAACCATTGGTTTCTCTTGTCCCTCCGACCCTAACCGGCTAGTCGGTATCACCTTACATGGCTCAAATCAACAGTCAAGGACTTTATGCATTGATGCTAGTCCGGTAGAGAGCCTCGAGTCTTTTTTCAACCTGAACCAACTTCGGCCAACATTGAGCGATGAGGCATACGTAACACACGTCCCAGTCATCTCAGTCAATGAAAGTTCACAACTGTATCAACTGTCTTACCTCTCCTCCCTAAAACTCTACACATGATTTATGCGTTACTCACGTGGTCATTGGTAGATACACTGTCATCAAAAAATATACATCTACCAGAGGAAAACAAGCCAAACTAACCTGATGAAACGATGGTCTTGACATGATAAAGACATCAGGCTAAATAAGTCCATATTCAACTTTGAAGCACATCGTTTCAAATGTGATCTACATGCCTAGAAAGCGGAAATAAGATGAAGATTGATTATTTATAACGACATACCGTGTAGCATTATATATATTTAGTCGGACAACACTCATAGCAATTTATAGTAGTGTTCACCTAACAGACTGAAGTGAACTAAGCATCCACATAACTCTTTTATGCTGGTATTTGTATTATACCGTCGTTGATTGGACCGCATTGGTCGATCTCTGTTGGTATATGGGCTCCTGAGCGAATGCCTCAATACCGACTGTATTTTCACTTTATGTTAATGATGGAAGGTGATTAGCAGTGAGATCTAGGACTCGTCAAATGAATATACTTGCCACCCAGTGAGCGTTGTTGTTCACACTAAGACTTGAAGTCCGAACCGATCGCTTCAAACCCCCAGGGCGTTACCCAACAGGTCACTCAGTTACAATAGCCACTTCTTGTGAGACTGGTATAGTTTTTTTCTCAATGTTGGTACTTGTATTATCCCGCCTTTGATTGAACTGAATTCATCAATCTCTATTGACATATGGGCTCCTAAACAGATGCTTCGATAATGTCTGTATTTCAATGTTAGATTAGTGATGGATAGTGGCCAACAGGTGGAATCCATGGCGCGACTCCCAAATAAGACGAAATGCACGTCTTGGATCCCACCGCTAACCACTAACTATCATTAATATATCATCCATATAACTGTTTGTTGAAACTGTATGTATCCAAGTGATTTACCCCCACTGTATTAATCAGACTGAGAGTTGATTTATTCCAAGCATCTATCCAACCCATGAATAATATTATCATCTTGATATGTTTCATGTTTATATTGATGTTAAAAAGATTAAAATTATTCACAATAAGGATAATCTGAGCGAACAACACTGTTAGCTTTCATCAATAACTTCCTCTTCAGGTTCCAAAGTAGTTATAAATCTATGAGAATAGATGAAATACAATAACCAGTGTAAGGCATCATGTAAAATTTATTAGAATAATAAAACAGTTAGGGTTATAGGTAAATGAAGTTTTTTATCCATTAGGCGGATTAATTGTACAATAAAATCAATATGAACAGAACAATCACAATATACGAAGGCTAGATATAGATAAAAAGCTTACACCTATTTGATCTGATCAGTATTTCGATGATCTCTAATATTGTTCTATGAGTTTGATCAATATGAAGCTTTTCAGTTCCTGGCTGGAACTATAAAATCTAATAAACATTGGTTAGTAGATTACCTTATTGAAGAATACCTTCTATAGACATTTTTTTCATTGGTACAGGTTCTGTTTATGCAGCATGTATCACATTCTAGTATAAGTCAGATGAACTGCTCGCATTGTGTAACTACTAGTATACAGTAGTGGCCTATACATGATGATTTATTCATAAGAGATGAAGCTCTATCTAATACAAAAAAGGGTGATCTGAATATTCTGATTAGATCCCATTCAACAATCAGTCATGCGTAGACTATGCATCGGATAATAAAATATGACTCAGTAGTTCAATGGTAACGTGCTTGCTGTAAAACCTGAAGGTTTGGGAGTCGATCCCTGATCATAGCGTCGCAAGTATTCACTCCTGAAGAGGCTCATACTACTAACATGAAACAACTGTTCATTGCGTCCAGGTTTCCAATGGTTCTTCACATGATTTCGGTCCATAGTGAATATCACCTTCAAATATGATATTTAATTGTAGTTCAGATTGTTGATTTGAAGCTTCACAGAAGCAGTAATGAAGATGACCGCCTGAACTGAAATCATAAGTTTTATCCCAGAAACAGTTAAAGCCTTAACAACAACAAAAATACACGATAATCTGTTTCTTTAGTGAATGATCTTAATTCATTAGTGAGTAGGTTGAATCAAGTATCAGGAAATGTTAACCTAAGAGACAGGCTGACAATTCTTCGCAGAAATTATACACTAACAATCACCACAAAACAACGGAAGCTGGGTTAGGTTGGAAGAGGGTTCACAGGGTGGCTAGACCAAGACTTAGCACCAATAGATGAAGCATCATACTGTTGTTTTGAGTCATTTGGGAAGATGTAGAGTGCCTAGTTGGGGTCCCCGAGACAATAAGAATCTGTAGTTGAGGACTCTTGGTGACAGCTGAAAACTGGTGACAATATCGTAAATGTATTCACTCCTTGAAATCTTTTAAAGATTGATTATTTGCACTATCCTTTATCATGAAATTCCTTATTCACTCTCTCTTACACACCGTGGTCTACTTTGATATCACTGTTTTTTTACCCATCTATACTTTTTGTACTGTTGTGAAGCATGGCAACTAGAACTGATACACTTACATGCGAGGTTTTACGTTGATTTCGTCAGTCAGTCAATCAGTTGAAGAACAGAATTCACTTCAATTAGTTACCTTGTATGTCTTCTATGCGAATTTATTATTTAACAGCGCTAGGTAAATCAATCTTTGTTTCTCAATACCACCCCCTCCCACCCTACCTCGCCTCCCAAATTAGCCCAACATTACATATGGAATGGTTAAATAACTACTCTAAGTCGTTAAAACAACACTAACAGTTGAATACGTGTAAACTCCAATTGGTTACTTTAAACAACCACTAATCATAACTGTGTAACGGAACAAAGAATCTTACCAACTTGGGAAAAAAAAATTCATCTTTGTGCATAAATTGCCAAATATCGTCCTAGTTGGATAACTGTAGCTATCCAAACAGACTAGACGTTTCATATGGTGAATTACCCTGCTTCCTACCATCTTCCTTCTTCCATTCAGTTACCTTTGTGTGAATTATTAATTCTTGACTGTTTCTATATTCTTTTGATAATACTTTACTCGTTAAGTATTCTTTTATTTCACAGAATTTAGACTTGATTATACTAGATAGTTGGAGGTACTTGTCAGCAAAATGTATCTGAAACTTCCAGAGATCTGATGCTCTATCAAAGACTTGAACCTAAATAACCCAACGCTACAATCAAACGTTATTTTTGGGCTGTTCAAATATCTCAGGAGACATTAATTCTCTAGATTTTACGCATAACACCTTGCTAATGAGCGCCAACAAGTCATGAGTTTTCTGCCAATCACCTCTAACCATCTAACATCAACCGAAGTGCACCGTAACCATATTATAAAATAATCCACAGAATTCAGTCAGCACCCAAGGTCAAACTAATATAAAATTGGTTACTCTCCAGTAACCAATCAACAGACTTGATCATCTTTATCCAACTTATCTTGTTCATTATCACGTCTTTTAAAATAAAATGTTATACTGAATATTTTTACGAACGAAAAGTGTATATATTTGCTACTGTAGGGCTTTAAGAATGAAATGACTGATGAGTGTTTTATTTGCTGAATAAGTTAATTGTTTTTCGTGTGTGTTTTGATGAGATGGACTCCAAAGATTCCACTCTAACGACTGGAGACATAACCAATTAAGATTTTATAAAAAAAAACTACCTTGTCAGTCAAAACTTAATTGGTCACTTCAGTATTTGCTAGATTGGCCTTTTAAAGCCACTCAATGATAACTTTTATGGTAAATTTTTCTTTGTCAAATATACAGTCGTGATTTATTGTAATAAGTTCATAATTCCCATTGTGATATCAAAAACAAGATATTCAGCGAAGACGATTCTTTTCTATGAATTTATTCTTAACCTGTACATTTGTATACATATATGATATTTAAAGACTGTAATCCATGAGGAAGATTGAACGCTTAAATAATGGGAAACTGAAATAACAATAATGATCGCTATACTTATAATAATGTTGTTAGTTGATGATAACAAAAAGGGGTTATGTAAGACTTGCCTAAATGCTTTATAAGGTGCATATAAATTACAAAGGGTTGAAAACATGGTAGAGTTAATAAACAATTAAACGATTATACAATTAATATGAACGAGACAGTAAGTTAATTAGAATACATTGAAAATGTTTCATTAAAAGTTGCAATCACCGTGAAGATTGAATGAAGTAACACTGGAAACTATTCAGTCTAAAAGTAAAAATGGTAACAGTAATGTAAGAGTAGAAAGACTAATCTAACAAAACGAAGCACACGAAGACCAAATTAAGTGAAGATCAAGGTAGAGACAAAGGTTGTGCATACTTCTTTTGCAAACAAAAGTCAGTCTGGCTTCAGTTTATAGATAGCCAACATCTCTGCTGTTCTTTTTACAAGTTGAGGACGGAGGAAACATGAGATGTTTGAGCGAATTCGATGGACAACCTTCTTCGGGTCGGTTGAATGGTTGGAATTGATTAGGTGTTCAAAGATAGAACTTCTAAAGCATTTCCTTTCAGCCTTATAAACGTAGGCTGGAATATGTTCTCATATACGTGTTGACAGCAATCTCTGACTACGACTGACATATCTTGTTTCACAGGAGCAGGTGAACTGGTAGATACACATGGATGTGTCCTGTTGAGGAATGTTGTCTTTTACATAAACCCTTTTTGTTATCATTCGACTTTTACACCATCAACTAGGAACATTATTATTACAACCACCATTATTATTTCAACCGCCGATTATTTAAGTTAAATCTTCCTTATGGATTACTGTCTTTAAATATATATATATATATATATATATATATATATATATATATATATATATATATATATATATCCCGATGAGAACATTACTCATCGGTAAGCAGGTACGTCCAGCTGACGAGTCCCAAATAGGACGAAATACGCATCCTGGATTTCACTGCTAGTCACTATCCATCATTACTAAACACATAGTATGCAAGCTATCACAATAGGTACCGCTTATCGCTCAGTGAATGTTGCACTTGCGTTATAATCAATAATGTATATATAGCTAATTCATACATTCACATAGTTGTTCGGTATTAAGCATTGAATAATGAGTATTGTACACATATAAGTGACAATAATGAAAATACAAAACGATACGATAGTATATCTGTTAATGATAACAAAATTAAACTTACTCGACTTTCAATTTCTTTATTACATGCAGGACATCGATGACAATACATTATCTAATGATATACAAATACCAGTTAGAGAAGAGAGTGAAAAGAAGAGATTAACTTACAGCTGTTTCACAGCATGAATTTTTATGCAGTTTTCTTCGTTCTGTATTCCATGTTTTCATACTTATGTTGCATATGCGACAACACAGATTATTCAGATTATTTGAAGGTAGCATTCTGTTTAGAAGGTATTATCTAGAAATCTGTCAAAAGTTATATTGCGAAATAATAATTTATGATTAGTTAACATAAAAATTTAGTACATGAAGAGTACCGAGAAATGAGTTATAAGAGAAATAGTTGAGAAAGTTTATGAACTGTGAATGAGACAAAGTAATAAACAGTGTTTGAACTTATTTGACTAAAATCACATCTAATCCCTAATCACGTAGTCATTATTTATTTATTTACTCATCGTTATTATTATTATTATTTTCGTCATTATTATTACAGCACAAAATGATACAACAAAGGCACTGAGAAATGCACCATACAAAATAATATAACAACATTATGAAGACATACACAGCTAAGGGAAATGGTAAGTAAAAAAAAACACTAAGAATAGGCTAATTAGGAGAGGGGTGCAGTGAGATACATTCAAAACAAAACACTTATTAATTTCCAGCTGCAGAAGATCGAAGGTAGCTAAAGCATGACCGCCACTGGTTTCGATTCTGAGCCATATGTGATAACGTCTCAAGCCACTGAGTTGGGTGATCCTTAGGACCCCACCTAGGGAGTCGTGATGCACCAACAGATGCTAACCCGTCACAACTATCCTTCATCCTACGGTGCCATGTCATACACTGACTGCCCCTTTGCTTCTCTCATCCGGTTCCAGGGCTGCCAAACAATAGACGATATGAAAGCCATTGGGAAGACATGCGTAATACATGCCCAAGCCGCCAAAGCCGGAGTTTCCAGATGACTTCCCGTATTCAATGACAATCTCCATCATGCCACAAAAGATGCTCTCCTACCTCAAAATAACTTACATGATATTCCCACCGGATACAAGCAGTCCTCCAAAGACAACGATGATCGAACATACAAAGGCGTCAAATATCCTCAGCTAGGAGAGACCAGGATTCACAGGCGTAGAGCATAGCTGCCCAAACCGAAGCATTGTAAACCCGAACATTTAAGGTCAGACTGACTTCGCAAAGGCACCAAAGAATGCCCAGACCGGTATATGCCATTAAAAGATAACCAAAAGAAGTTAGATAATGATGAAACAATCAAGAAACGTGTACGTGGAGGGAGAAGTAACGAATGCAAAGCCGTTAAGAATTCAAGTTTCGAAGAAACAGTGAATAAACTCAAGCGGAAATAATGATAGTTTACTTCATTTTGAAGTTAATCCTGATGAGTTCCTCCATAAACACAATGAAAACTTCACAAACAGACCACTCAGCTCAAATGATGACACAACATAACCAAGATCATTCATCTGAGCTACAAATATTCTCCATCATTTCAACATACTCATGTGATATGAATTAGCAAGACAGTAGTAGTCAGTGAGAAATGAAGAAAACATTCTCTTCATAACTTCTTATCACAACTGTAGAGTTAAATAACAGTTTGAAAGTGTCGACAAGAATTGAATGTTAGTGTCAATATGCAGGAAACTGGAAGTCAAAAGACAAATTCAATATTCCTTGAGACTTAACAAATTATTCCTATATATTATTTACAAAATGCAAATATTGAATAATGAGTAGAGATTGGAAGTGCTTTGTCAAAGTCATGGGTCGGAAATACTACCACTATTCAATCAGCATATGAGAAAGAGAAAGATATAAACTGACAAAGTTGTGAGGTTATAACAAATGAAGATGAAGATAGATTGTTTAAAAAATGGTTGTGGAGACGTACAAGTAATGTCGTGGTGGCAGAAAGCAAACTAGAAGGAAGGTTTGTATGCCTAGAGTTCAGGATCTCATTTTACGGGTTACCAAGAACTTCTATCATACAAAGAAGATTTACTCTTTTTGAACAATTCAATCTCTTTCCGTATACCATACCATACCATACTGAGTTGACTGTACTGATTGATACTGGATGACCATGGAGAGAGAACAGTATACTCCAGATTAGAGTGGCTGGTTAATTTGACTTCTCCTTATGATAGCAATCCTCATAAGTCTTCATAATCAAGCTTTGACAGTATTAAAATGGTGCTTTTTCATCGAATGCTTTGATCTCTAGGAATGTGTCACATTGGAACGAGTCGTTTGAAACGTTCAAGGATAAGTATATATTTGCGAGAAGTTAAGAACAAAGAAGCAGACTTAAGGAGATGGAAACGTAACTCATATCACCAATCATTGTCGATACTAATCGGACTTCAGTATGTTTCAAGCTAATCATGAATTATGTAGAGTTGGTTAGGATCATGGCAACTTTGAATATCGGTATTGGTATGATCGATGACAACTAAGCTCGACGAAAAGGCCGTCATTGTGTAGAAGGAACATCGTGTACCATTCGTTTTCAATGGTAGTCTAACTTTTGTATCTGAATATGAATGAATATCTTTGACGACAATAGGAGACTGACGTACAAAATCGACGTACAACATCGCACACAGGTGGATAGGTTGAAGCTGCCACACTTCATAGTAGTAGTATACAAAGAACAGATGGATAAAACAGACTGATATCAAAGCAGATAAAGTAGTGTGAGAGAATAACCAATCTGAATATAAGGCTTAGTGCAAGCATTCAAGCTTTAGAAGGTGTCGAGGAAAGAATCCATCTTTGACATTGTTACCGACTTTCAGCCATTTCAGCAAGTGTACTCAACCATTGATTCATTCCTATTGTCTTGGGAAGCACAGTGGTGGAGCAGTCTACATCTTCACTCACGACTCTGACAAACACTAAGAGACTATATCGACTGACTCAGGGTCTCTTCTCATGTAGCCACCTTGTGAACCCTCTTCCAACGTAATCTAGTTTCACCCAACATGGTACTTCGAGGTAGGCGGTGACTCGGTATGTGCAGTACATGTCCAAAGCATTTCAGTCGACTAAGGTTCACAACGTAATCAATCGACTTACTTGTCTTGCCTAGTACCCTTCTTCTGATTTCAACACTTCTCACACGGTGATTCCACCGCGCGAGGAATGCTGCAAAGACGCATGACAAAAAGCTGCAAACGCTTCATGTCTTCAACTTTTAACGGCCGTATCTCACAACCGTATAACAGCACGGAACGGACTGCGGCGCAAGATACTCGTCCTTTGATGAGTAATCGGATACCTCCCAAGTCTGTGCCACAGATGACGCAAGTTAGCAGATCCTATACAGGCCTTCTGTATCTGAGCTGAGATTTTGTCAGCAATCACCCTGTTCACGCTGATGCAACTCCCTATGTAAGTGAAGTGGTCAATACATTCCACCACTTCACTCCATATCATTTAACTGGGAGTGATTGCAGACCAGTCAGCTTTCATTTGACAGGTACAGAATGCATGTCAAACACTCAGACTTCTGCTCAAAGTGTTCAGAAGACCCTGCATTTTGTTAGCGTCTTCGCCTAGCAGGAAAATATCATCTGGATACTCCAAGTCAAGCAGATAACCTCCAGGGAGTAAGAGGGTGGGTAATGATAGTCATTGGTCAGATGTGTGAAGTGATTTTTGGTTCACTATATTAACTAATGGATAAGTAAGATTGTGTGACATTTTGGTAAACAGGTGAAGCTAAACATTGTCATTTTTGGTCATTTTATGCTGAATGGAGGCTAAGTGAATGACACTGGTAGCCTGCATTTCTTTGAATGGTCATATCTAGTTTCCATGTTTTAACATACAGACAATGAGAGATGACTACTTTGCTATAGCAACGTACAATATTTTCAGGTACAACAAAATTCAGGGACTTGAAGGTAATTATTCGATTTTTTTGAAAGTATGAAATTCAGTTTCTTCTGTGGAGTATGCTTTTTAGGATGAACCATGAGAATCTTTCCATAGGGCCCAAAAGAACATCTACCGGTATGGCTAGCAAAAGAAGAGATAGAGAAGATTACGAGTTCTATCCAGTCCCACCTAATCAACACAGGTCACAATGCTGACATTAGATCTGTTTTTTCTTCTATTCACAAGACATCAAATTGAATGCTTCAAGTAGTAAGAATTAGCTTTCTTCAAATCGTTGAAGCTAACAATAAAAATCATGAAATCTGAGGTCTATATGCAAAAGCATCTCAACTATTCTCGCTTGCTGTCATGATCATCCGCAAATATGGAGTCCACATAATGCAGATACACAATGACTGAACTAACCTGTTCATATTCTCTGTTAATCTGATTTAGAGTTTTTTATTTGACCTAGTATCCTATAATTACTCGCTGCCTGCTGTTGATTTTCAATTTTAATCCAATTGTAATTAATAATCCCTATGCTTGTTAATCTTCTTATGCAATAATTATTCGAAAGCTTACACAAGATTAGCTTAATGTACAGATAACTAAAAGTTTAAATAACTACTTGATGTATGCTCCAAGTATGAAATGTTGTATTTAAAGGTACAGCCTGATGAGACTTTAACAGCAATGTGTATTCGCTCAAATCCTCGTCTTTTCAGTGCATGAAAAATCATTATTTACGTATGGAAAACGAGCTACTTCATTTTTTTCAAAGACGCTTGGGCCCTCGTTGCGTTTAATCCATCAAAAGTTATACTGACAACCTTAACTATGAGCAGTTCAAAAGGAGATCGACTCTGGAACATTTCAACTCTTCAGTCTATGCCAGATTTCAATGTTTTGTAGGTGGATGGTTTTTGTTGCATTCTATGACATCAAAAGTTATATTAGTACAAGCTAACTAAAAGCATTTTAGTTGCGAATCTGTCTTCAAAACATTTTGTGTTGTTCGTACTCATCGCAGTATAGCATTTTTTTGTACTTTAAAGTTCACTTCAGCCTTTAGTTCTCTGGTTCAAATTAATTTACTATACTTTATATACAATGACTATAGAAGGCAATTACTATAATCATCCTGTCATCTTTATATGAAGTAAAGGTATGCAGTATAACAGCTGTGAAGAATGGTTTAACACCAATTAAATATAATTGCTTCACTAGGATTGCTTTATTCTCGTCCTGAAACTTTTGTTACAAACCTATGACACTTTATTCAGGAAGAGGTTGAACATGTC